CCCCGGTTCCGCCAAAAAAAAAAAAAAAAAAAAAAAAAGAATGAACAGAGGAATTTGTTGTAATAGTGTTTATAAATAGGATATCAAGTCTGCATCTTGTACAGCAAATAACCACTAGGAAGAGAGTATGAAATGTGTTAATTATTGAAACAGTCATACCAATTTGATTTGAAACTGTCTCATTGCTATTTGTCTCTCAATAAAATTATGGGGAAAAAAAGAACTACAATCTGCAGGAAGGAATTAAGAATTCAAGTTGAGATGTTTTTAAATGTACTAGAATTAACTACCACATGTCTATGGAAGAAAGGAAGACATATCTGAAAGACACAGAGAGGTCAATCATCAGTGTAGGCAACAAACCCATGTTATCAATACTGACAGCTAGGTTCTTCTCAGAGAATACAAACACTAAATTCAAGCATATATTAGGGTTAAGAGCATATTTAAAAGACACTGCACAATGCTGAAAGGGCAGAATGCTATGCACTCTAACATGGCTCTGGCTGACTCTTCATGATACACAGGCTTGTGTTCCTCATCACCCACCAAGAACAGTGACTAGACACCCAGGGGTGGCTGAGGACCTGAAGCTGAGTAGTGTACTCTGCACTATGTCACCGAGAAGCGCTTCAGGTAGCAGACACAATGCAACACTCAGGGGCTGCCATTTCATCTTTGGATAACAGAGAAAGAATATACAGTTCCAAGGCTGTCTTTAAGCTGTCTGTAACCTCCTCAAGGAAAGGAGGCCATACACAGGACGCCAAGCAGGCCACACATCAAGGTGAGCTATTTCCTATGGGCACTGGCACCTGCAGTCTTGTGCAGGTCCTCTACTGTGGTAGAGCATGGGTGCAGATGAGGCACCATGAGTCCCCACCTGACTTACACTGCAACTAAAAAGCACATGCGAGTACCAACTCCAACAGATAAAACACTAAGACCAACAGGGACAGAAGCTATAGGCCACCTGAAACCCCCACTCATCCCAAACATGCCCACATGGGAGGCCAGTGCACTAGGGTGGCCCGTGGGGATTCTACCACCCACTACAGTGCCCTGCAAGCACTCCCCAATTCAGTGCAGTGGGATCCAAAAAACTGTCATCCCTGGCTTCCCCACTAAGCAGCCATGTGATCTTAGGAAGCTGCAATCACCTGGCTTTTTGTCTTCTAAACTAGAAAAATGAAGGATAAAAATAAGTCTCCAACCATGCTGACTATTTCAAGGTACTAAGGCAGGAACTTACTAGAGTTTCACGTACCAGACCTACCCATCTAACCACACAACTGCTTCTGTTTATAAACAGGCTTTCCAATGAGGGATGATTGTGGAGTATTTTTTCCCTAAGATTAACATGATTTAAAGGGCTACATGATTTAGAAAAGATCCACATATCTTTATGATAGCTTTGCCTGACACTGTTTTCAGTTGACAGGCATCTGGAGGAAGACAGCTGGGCCCGGCTATAGCCCTAGACCTAGCACCTGGCTCAGGATTTATCCAGGTCCAGGGACCAAATATGGCCCTGTAGCCAAGAGGAAAGACTGAGGACAGCCAGCCAGCCAAGGATAGCGTCATGGCTACCAGTAGCTACAGTGTCGTCCATCTACTCAAGAGCAGGCCAGGAGCCATTAAGACACCATGTACCACTGAGGTCTGTATGAGTTGGCTGCTATAGCCAGAAAAATGGAATTACTGCCTTCACCACAGGTCCTTCCAGATGTGCAGTGAGTGTGGGTTGGGAATCAGCACTGAGCACACATGCTACTGGTTTTCAGGACTGAACACGGATGGTACATTAAGAATACTCCCCACTGATAAGGGGTATGGTGAGCCAAATTTCAGAACCAGCCAGCATGTGATATCAGGCCTCAAACCTCAGTCCCTTGATGGGGTAGGATCAGACCTTGTTCTGCTGGCCACAGTGGCTGTTACTGACCTATATGGGCGCGGGCTGCAAGGCCTGAGAGCGCGGTGGCGGCACTGGGAGCAGCGCTGGGTCTCCCTCCCGGGTGAGATGAGGTGGAGGATGCAGAGGATGAGGTGGAGGAGCCCTGAATGACCCGGTCGAGCCAGGGCTCAACGCCAGGGTGGCTCTGGAGCGGAGTGGAGGTGAGTCGCCCGGGTCGCCGTAAAGAGCCCTCATCTTCTGAGGCAGATGATGTGTCTGTGGTTAAAATAATGATCACAGGCATGATGTTGGGATGGGTCAGGAGGGGCAGCCCCATCACCCAGGTGAGCAAGTGGGCACCTTGGGTCACCTGGACCTATAAGGGTGGGCAAGAGTTCAACTGCAGAGAAGTGGGCCCAGGAGTCTCAATCTCCCAAGAGGCCTTGGCCATTGACTTCACACACAAGGTGAAGAGAGCCATTCACCTCTGCACAAAAAATACCTGATGGTGATGTGCTCCACTGCTGCACACCCACATAGTCAATACCATACCCAGGGGTGTCGTGGCTGGGCACAAGCCCCACAGATGGTGTGGCTGTGGGGGCCGCAGCCTGTTTCTGAGGTCCTCTTAAGGAAATAGGTTACCTTTACAAAGAACACCCTCTCCAAGACAGTGCTTCCCTCAGGCAGCAGCTAACCTCAGGTTCCATCAGTATCACTGCACTTTTTTTCCAGGTACTTGGGGATTAAACCAGGGTCTTCACACATAGCTATATACCCAGCTCTTTCTTTTTTACTTTGAGAAAGGATCTTACTAAGTTAGTAAGTTGCCCAGGCTGGATTTTTACTTGGGATTCTCCTGACTCAGATCCCTAAAGTGCTTGGATTACAGACATACAACAACAGACCCAGCACAACTGACCACATGTATTATGAGTTTTACAATTTTGAAAGAAGTCTTTAGAATTGGATAATGTTTACAATGTTTTTTAGCAGAAATAATAATTTGGTAGCCATTTCTAAAATTTTTTTTAATACTAAACTTTTTTTTTCCAAGCAAAGACACATTGTCGAGAGCATTAAATTATTTTGTGCATCTGGTATATTTGGTGTTCATTGTATAATAACTGTAAATGCAGGTGGGGGATATAGCTCAGTGGCACAAGTGCCTGCCTGGCAAGCTAATCCTGAGTTCAACTCTAGATAGCAAAAATAAACAGATAGATAAATAAAAATTAAAAAAAAATAATTGTAACTGCATCAAATCAAAACCAAATGTCACCATTTTTGTTTTTAGGGTTTTGAGGATCAGCAATGGAGGCTCATGGCTGTGAAGCCACCAGACAGACACCTCAGTGACACACAAGTTCTCATTTCTAACAGTAATAGCAACAGAACCACAAAATATGCCCAGAAACACCTAGTCTTATACTATCCCACATTAAGTCCTGGTAACAACATACTAAAAACAGGGGTAAGATGAAGACAATTTTAAAAGTCTTAACTTAGGAAACTTTATTATTCCTCTGAATGTTTTAGATTTTTATCTTTACTAAAAGATATAAGTAGCATCTTTGTACACACACACACACAATATCTACAACAAGTCTTGTAGAATGCAAGTATCTATTCCATCATTTCATTTGGGTAAGAACAATACTATGTATACTACAGATTTCCAGGTAAGGAATGTGCACATATACAAACATTTTTCACCTCCAAATTTTCTAAATCCTACTGCAGTTGGAAGGATGTCCCACCTCAGTGTGAATATGCACTATTCCCTGGCCTGAGTCCCACACCTTTCTCCATACCTGGAGGGGTGTAGGTCTCCACAGATGAATGCACAAGGACAGAACGTCTTTTTGAAGGCATAGGCATCTTTCTCTCTTTGTACTTGGCCAAAGCTGCTTGCACAGCCTCAGTGTGAACATCTACAAGAAAGAATAGCCATTGAAATGTTTTTACAAATTGGTTATGACAACAAAATTCAGATTCATATTTTCACTACATAGGAAAGATGCAAAGCTCTACCTACCATTCTACCCTTACAAGTTTGTCCCAAACTTTCTTTAAACTTCCCTGTTTATAGATTTGACTTTAGAACCAGGTAAATATTTCCACAGCTAAAACTAAAACAGCTGGGAATAGTGACACACACCTAATCTCAACACTCAAGAAGCTAAGGGAGGGGGGCCAGGGAGATGGCTCAGTGGAATAAGTGCTTCCCTGGCAAGCGCAAGGGCCTGAGTTCAATCCCCGGTTCTGCCAAAAAAAAAAAAAAAGAAGCTAAGGGAGGGCTGGTCAGATAGCTCAGCAGATTACAGTGCCTGCTTAGGCAGACACCTGGGCTGGGGTCTGATCCCCAGTGTGCCATGCTGGTCCTGCCCCTGGGGCACACTGAGCCATCACTGAGATAGGTGTGGTGGCGTATGCATATAAACTCAGCGCTTGGAAGGCTGAAAACAGGAGGATCACTACGAGTCCAATCTAGTGAGACCCTGTAGACCTTGTACTAAATAAAAAAAATAAAAAAAAAAGAGGCTGAGAGATGAGGATCACTGTGAGACTGAGGCAAACCTGGCCTACAGAGTGAGTTCAAGGCCTGCCTGACCACAGCAAAACCCTGTTTCAAAAAGACCAAAAATTAAATAAATGAAACAGAAAAACTCCCCAAATTAAAAATAGTGACACAGATAAACCTGTGTTCAGTGACTACCTTAAGATTTCCAAACAGATTTTTTTTAAAATGTATTTGGTTCGGGGTCTCAACATGCAGCTCACTCATAGCGATTCTCCTGTTTGCTATCTCCGCAGTGCTGGATCACACCTAGTCTCTATTGCTGTCTCAGTGTGCCTTAGGGGCGGGCTGGACCAGGGATCAAACCCTCATCTCTGCACTTGCCAAAGCAGGCGCTTAGTCCACTGAGCTATCTCGTCGGCCCTTCCAAACAGATTTTATTTTATTTTATTTTTTATATATTTAGTACATGGTCTTCAGGGTCTTACTACACAGACCAGACTCAGACTCACAGTGATCCTCCTATTTTCAGCCTCGCAAATGCTGGGATTACAGGCGCACACCACGATGCCCAGTCTCAATCAATGTCTCAATGTGCCCTGGGGTCAGGGCCCGGTGCAGCATGCTGGGGATCAAATCCAGTCCATGCCTCTACCTAAGCAGGTGCTTTAGTCCACTAAACTATTTGGCTGGCCCCCAAACAGATTTTGAATAGTGTAGTAAGACTACTCAGCCTGTTCCTCCAGAAATGCCTGCTGCGGACAAAATGAATTACAGAAAAAGACTTCAGCTTCCTCAACACCATGTTGTGGGTGGTGAGGGGACTTTTCACAATGAGATTTTCTAAGTCATGTTGGACTTAGTGAAGGAAGGGCATATGATGGTCTGACTGTCACACCCCTAGCAACCTGAATATCCAAGGGCAACACAAATGCAGACAAATCTTCCATCCTGAATCTTAGTGAAATACATTATTTGAATAATTGTGTTTTTTTTTTTTTTCTTTAAGAAGTATGTCTTAGCCATGCATGGTGTTCTGTAAACCCAGCTACTCAAAAGACCGACAGACCGTAAGTTCAAGATCAGCATGGGCACTTAGTAATATGCTATTTCAAAAAACAAAGGACTGACGATATAGCTTGGTGCTAGAGCACTTACCTAGCACATACAGAGCCCTGGTTAATCCCCAGTGCCACTGAACTGTTAAAACAGTAACATGGGGCTGGAGAGATGGCTCAGTGGTCTAAAGCACCTATTTAGAACAAGCTTAGCAAAAGCATCAGGGACCGCGGT